ACGAGACTCCAAAAGGACACCAAATGACCCAAAAAACTTACATAAGGAGTCCATATAATTCATAATTTTATGTACACCACAGCACTCATGAAAAAAAATATATATAGAAATTCACAGTGCAAAGAATGTGAACAGTGCACTAGCAAAAAGCTTTTTTATATTTTAAACAAGTTGTAATACTGAAGAGGACCACATGAAGATGCCAAAAAAAACCTAAAACAACCACCTTCACTGACTGCATATACAGTACACATACACAGTTTGTTTGCACATCAATATAATGGTCCTTTATGCATGCTTACTGTACGACTCCTGTACGTCACCGCAATCAGCTTTACTTTGATTACAAACCTCCATCCATCAAAATATTACTAAGGAAATGCTGGTTCACTGTATCCAGCCAAGAAGAGTAGTTTGCGTATCATCTGGCCATACAGTGGTGTGATGTTTTGCAGTCCATTCAGTCTGTATTTCAAACAGCGCAAAGCATGAGGACTTGCGCTCTTCAAAAACAATCCCAGAATATGACAGAGCTTGTGTTTAAAGTGAAAACATACACTGGACTGAATAATTCACTGAAAATGCAACAATTAACTGAAAATGCTATTTTCTCTGCCACCTCTGATGTAATGAGCCAAGTTTTCTTTAAATTAGCACTGTTTGTTGGACTGACTGCTTGAATGTACTCATTGGAATACTGGACTGAAAACTTTCTCAAAGTGTAGCGGCTTAAAATGATCTGATTGCAAACAGAGAAATAAAATCAGGTTAAAGGGTTAGAAAAGGAATCTCCGACTACCAGGGTTACAGATGCTAGCGCCATTATAGATGTGTGATAAACTCCAGACTTACAAGATCATCTGTCTGAGGTAACCCTGAAGTTACACTAAAAACGCAATTTCACATGCGTCAGTAATTTACTTGAGATAAATTATATATATATATATATATATATATATAATTTAACGGTAGAACCAGTGGCGCCTCCAGAAATGTTTTAATGGGGTGGCCAGAGGGGGACAGTAAAAATCCTAGGGTGGCATAAAAATTATAAATTATAAAATATACAATGGGAAAAAATGCAATTGTAATTTTTAAGGATCTATTTCTACATTATCTAACCCACTATCTATTTCTATTTTATTTAACTTACATTGATGTAAGTTGTCAGGTTGATATGCAGATTAAACAACATTTTTGACTTGTATGATTAAGTTAATTAAAATTTTCTCACAAAAAGCACATTATTTAGGCATTAACTGTAAAAATATATACATGTATAAATATATATACTGTTTCCTGCAACTGTATTTCCGGTGTTAATACTAGTGATGCACTGAAATGAAAATTCAGGATGCACTTGGCCAAAAACCTAAAACGATACAGTTTATTTTGTATAATTGTATTAATATTAGACTTTTAATTAATGCCATGGATTTTTTTAAACCGAAAATCTAAATGGAAATGAATATAAAGCTTTAATAATCAAATAATTAAATTTATTTAATAATCAACACTCCAATACAACTTGAGTTGATCAAACATTTAAATTGTGCATAAGGCAGTTTTTATATCAACTTTTTAATAATAGAATTATGTTTCTACACTCTAATTTGTTGGTGAAATATAAACATTAAAACAATGCCTGTAATAACTTTTCATAACAGATTTATTCAAACACGTTAATAAATATAAAAAATGTCATTACAGGTTAAGTAAAAATATAATGATCTCATGCATACAAGCTATCAAAATGCTCCTCTCTAGAGTAATTTCTTTCTAGTTAATTAACAAGGTAATATTATGTGACATACTGTTTACAAGTGGTTGAAGTGCTGGACTTTGAAGAGTGAATGGGGAATGATTATTTATAATACAGTTAAAAATAAAGCTGATTATATGGAACATACAGTATTCGTAAAGTTACAGAGAATTAAACACTTTGGGATGGCCTGCTGAGCCTTAACCTACAAGATTCATGTCTTTTACAAGATAAATAAAACACGGTAAAATATGTTGTATGCTTTCTTGTGAGTTTTGTCCGTTTTAAGCTCAAAGCGATCCTCACATGAACACTGCAGTAAGTTTAATGTGGCGCTAAAGCACAAATTAACGAGGAAAGTTTAATAAATTAATGTTTGATGCTGTTCAATTTTGGTGTCAAATATTTAAGTCCATGTTTGATAATATGTGTAGACCTTGGCTTAAAGTATCATTCTATGTTAAAGGGGTCATATGATGCGATTTAAATTTTTCCTTTCTCTTTGAAGTGTTACAAGCTCTTGGTGCATAAAGAAGATCTGTAAAGTTGCAAAGACTAAAGTCTCAAATCCAAAGAGATATTCTTTATAAAAGTTAA